TGATGCGTTCCTTGACCACTATTGCCGACCCTAAACATCCCCGAACTCTTCGGCAATGAGGCCTTCGGAGGAGGATGGGCCGTGCTGTCTTGACCGCCGTGATGAGGGACACAGCGGCGACGAAGAGCTCGTTGCCAAATCGAGCTCCTCCTAGACCCGAGACTGCGTATGGCACCGGTTTGTTATCGGATCGTTTACGGCTTGATAGGGTTTGGTGTTTAGCGCTTGGGTGTTTTTAAATCAAACTGCACCTGTCGACGTGGACAATTATCGTTCTTCTGGTGGGTTCAGGGCTCAAGAAAACCATTGTGCCTCGTACCTCTCAGGGAGTGTTGACCTTCGAGGTGTAGAATGCAAACCTTCCCCCCGAGACCCAAAATACTGCGAGCATTGAATCCGTAACCTGATTTAGGGGAGGGGTATCACAATACATCATACACGGGGACTCTGACTATTAAAGGAAGACGGCCTCAGAGTACTTAGAGCTTGTCTATAGCAGAGCTAGACAGCACCCCAATCTCAGTGCATCTTGTTCGGCGGCTGATGTCACAAGATGTTAGTCGCGTTGCTGATGCAGTCAATATTGGCATGGCTATGCACCATGTACCAGTTCGAACGATTTGTGGGTGCTAGCGAGGTGCGTAATCTTGTTCGTTGCACATCGTGTTGAGTGTGCGACGTTATGTTTGGAACATTTCGCTGTTGTGAAAGTCTGACATCCGGTTATAACGCGCTATCTAAACAAAAGCACAAACTGTTGAAGTACTTGTTGATGAACGTGGATGCTACCCCTTCATACCGTACCATCAATCAAAAAGTTCAATGAAAAATGATTATTTGCAAAGCCCGGAAACATCAGGTCAACTTCTGTGCCCGTCACAAACCCATAAACCCTCAATCAAACTCGTAAACTCTATATATGAATCCTTGCAGCCGAATTACCGCAATCCAAATTTCCAACCTAAACGGGAAAGAACACAGACTAGAAAATGTATTGTGCCAGATGCCTTCAGCATCTGTTCCCAGCAGCACCACTTTAAAGAGCTCACCTGCCAAGCTTTGAGCAAGCCTTCTTATGACACCCCATGAAGAAGTTGAAGCCTTTGCACCTATCGGCTTCAAAGCCGCAAACCCAGCCTAAACCCCAACAGCTAAACCCCTCAGCCCTAATTAACCCCTCGTATTTCTCCCAAAAACCCACATCGAATCCTGTGTTCAGCTTCATTAAACCGCAAAATTCTAACCATCCAATACCTCAATCTTTGCTCGATATATTCATGCCATCCGGCCCATAGGGCTGTGGGCATTTAGGGTCTATTGGTCGTTTGGGGCCTTAACAAGTAGACCAAGGTTTTCGGGTTTTCGGGTAGATTGTGCTGTAGATGCACGAAACGACAAAAAGAAGAACACAGCGAATAACCGATCTCTATAGGCTCTACGTTGCTTGCAGCAGGGTGTAGGGGTCGGGGTTGGTATTCCAGACACTTCGCTTCAGCGGAAATTCTAGGAGGTTGTCCTTTGTTGCATTCATGCGCCACTACGGTGGGTGGGCGAAATCTTGCACTACCCGCACGGAAATACTTCCAGCGGTTAAGGCATCAACCGCGTGGCGCTGCGAGGCGGCATCGGCGTGTAAGCGGAGGCCCTGGGTGTCCCCTCCCTGACAGAGCAAAGTGTGTCACAGCCCAAACGTCGGGAAACTGTCTGCTGGCCCTGCTTTTGCGTCCGCAGCTTCCACCTCCGCTTGTCCCTGGCTTCTGTGGTCACAGTTCAGCGGGAGCGGCAGCAGCCTGAAGCGGGGCGGTGCCAGCATCCAACGTAACTTCCTCGGCACCTGAAGGGGCAGCAGCTTTGCGCGCGCTCCACTACCAAGGTGGCAGCGGCCGGCTGCGCCCCGTTTACTAGAAGTTGGCAGCTAGGAATGGACTACATGAGCGGCCCAAGATTTCGGCCATTGGAACAAATCTGCTCCGAAGCCATGCTGACAAGGGTCAAACGACAGGGTGAAGCCTCTGTTGGGTGGCCAATCTGGGTGGCTCCGGCGTGCCTTCCGCACACGCAGCTTTGACCTTGTTCTCCCTTCGCCTGCTCAAAACAATTGCAGTTGTCGGTTCCTGGCAAACCTCAAACAACTGGTGGTGGCAACCGTCTCGAGCCGAGGTGAAGGGTTTAGATCCAAGGCATCTTGTGGCTTGGCAAGCCTTGGCACGGCACGTAGCCGTACCCCACCGCAGACCAGCACCCGGCGTGTGAGCAGCTCCAACAACAAGGCAGCAAAATGGAAACAGGAAGCCGCTTTTAACGCAATGTGCCAACGAGCTGGCCCGTGGGCGTTGCCATCTCCGGCAGCATGATGCTCTCGGAAGACGACGAAATGTCTCCGGTTGCACTGCCACACGATGCATTGCTGTTGCTGCAAACAGGCCGCTGAAAAGCATCCAGGTGACACGCGCCGCCCTTGGTTTTGAAAAGCCTCTGACAGCGGCGTCTCATGTCGCCAACTGCCACGGTGACGAAGTCCCTTGACAAATTCTGGGCCGTGCGAAGAAGCCGTTGAAGTACTGAGCTCGAGACACGCGCTTGGCACTCGCCCACTTGGCTTCTTGGCGCCTCATGCGGCGGTTGACTTGCGACCAGATGCAGAAATCCATCGGGTGCATGTCCGGAGACGTCTGTGGCAAAGCTCTGGATGCCGTTCACCAGTTCGGCCGCCTTGCCCCGGCTAGATTGGAGACCTGTTGGATCCCTTTCTTCAAGCACCACATGCTTGTGCTGGGTGGGCCAGGACTAAGCCAGGGCAGTCTTCGAGGGCCCGCTGTACATGTCAGCAACAGCCAGGAATCCTTGGAGCCACTTTTGGTAGGCATAGCCACCGCTGAGTCCGTGGCTAGGAGCTCGATGTGCGCCGATGGTGCGGTGCTGCGCTGCCAACTTCCGGATAGCGGACGTCAAGTATGTCTTGACATGCTTCCCGTCAAGGCACATGAGCATTCTTGTGGCACTGTAAAAACTCGTATAATGGCAACTAAAAATGCTAACCTTCAGTGCTAATGACGGTGGTACTACGTCTCGTAGCAGTAATGCTCAAAGTTCTAGGGTCTATTAGCAGCACTAGCATGTGTACTGGACCGAATACTGATAGGCATTTTTTGCTGCGATTCGCTTGAGGCTGAGACTTTCCCTGAGGGTCCATGTACCCAAATAGCAGAACATTGGCCCTAAAGTACCCATATAGGGACTACATTAAGGCCAATGTTCTACTATTTGGGTACATGGACCCTTAGGGTTTGGTAGCAGCCTGAGCAAGTACCCGCGACCCTGCGAGTTGACTGTAGAGCCCCTCAGCACTCCTCGGAGGCTCATGGGTAGTTATAAGTGGGGTTCTGGTTTAGGGTTTAGGGTTTAGGGCTTAGGGTTCATGGGTTGTTATATGTGGGGTTATATGTAGGGCAACTGTAAGTTATAACCCACATCGGGGGACCTATAACTCCAGTTATAACTACCCATGAACCTAAATCTTAAACCCTAAACCTTAAATCCTAAACCCTCTACCCTATAGTACCTCTAAAGGAACCCTACATGAACCTCCAAGTATCCCCGCTTGCATAGGGCTGCGACTATGGCTCTTGGGCTGAAGGGAAAGCAAACTCCGAGCCCGAAGCTTCCTTTCCAGCTTTCTTCGCATGGGGTTTAGGGTTTAGGGTTTAGGGTTTAGGGCATGCAGCTGCAAGCGCGGAATAGGGTTTAGGGTGCAGGGTTTAGTTTAGGGCTTAGGGTTTGGGGTGCAGGGTTTAGGGTGCAGGGTTTAGTTTAGGGTTTAGGGTTTGGGGTTTGGGGTTTTGGGTTACCTGGAGAATTCATCTACGCAGATGAGAGGTGCAGGGTGTTGATCACGATGCATTATCGCCACACCCTCCTTAGTTTCCCTTCTGCAACACCGTGAAATCAACCTGAATAAAAATCGCAACAGGTCTCACAATTGTAAAGTTGCGGGAATCCATTGTTTGAGGAGCAGCACCTTTGTCAGAAGCTCCAGAGACCACTTGTAAAGGCTTCTTTAGTACTCCTAACAGAAACCCATTTAGCAACCCTCGTAGAAAGAACCCTGGTTGTAACCCGTAACCTTTACTACTGTGGCACGCTCTATAAGAGAACCCTTACAGTAACCCAGTAGCCCTTATCCGAATCCCGTTTAGGGCCTAGTGGTTTAGGATTTAGGCTGTTATCTAAAAGCGGTTTTAAAACAAACAGCTGATTGCAAACAAGAACAGCGCTGGGCCTTGTCGCGAAGAGGTTCATAAGATCTAAACTAAAAGGCGGGGCAACATAGCAATGCCAGAAGGTCCGTGCTAAACCCTAAACCTCTGAAAGCCAAAGCCCTAAACCCCTAACTCCTGAAACCCTCAACCTGAAACCCCTAGAGCCTGAACCCTAAACCCTAAACCCTAAACCCCTAAACCCTAAACCCTAAACCCGAAGCCCTAAACCCTAAACCCCTAAACCCCTAAACCCCTAAACCCTAAACCCTCAATCCGAAACACTAAATGCCCCCGAAACCCAAAGGATGGGTCGACCGACTCCATTCTTCCATGCCGGTTGTAGGTTTTGGGTTTCCGGGTTTGGGGTTAAAGGTTTAGGGTTCAGGTTTAGGGTTTAGGGTTTAGGGTTTAGAGTTTAGGGTTTAGGGTTTAGGGTTTAGGGAACTATATAATGCAGGGAGCTTGATAATTAGACTAGGGCTTCGGGGTATATTACACTGTACCTGTAATAAGGAACCCCAAAATAGTATTGGTAATCGTTTAGGCCCCCATGTTAATATGTTATACTATACCTCTCATCTACCAGAATATTCTATAATCAGAAGACGTGTCCTCAGACTAATCTCCCGATTCAATTTGCCCCTAAACCCTAAACCCTAAACCCTCAACCCTAAACCCTAAACCCCACACCCTAAACCCTCAACCCTAAACCCTAAACCGTGAAATTCGTGCTGCTCCGGCCTGGCTGGGCCTGATCCCAGTCGTCGATGGGCAAATGACCGCAGGGAAGCTCCTCCTCCTCTGTAGGCCCTGGGAGCCAACTGGGGTTTAGGTTTAGGGTTTAGGGTTTAGGGTTTAGGGTTTAGGGTTTAGGGTTTAGGGTCTTGTCAAGGGATTTGGTTTAGGGCTTAGGGTTTAAGTTACTATAACAAGGAAATCATAGGAGTTAAGAAGTTTAATTGTTCTGTAGCTGGACCTCGCTTCAGCACAGGGAACTTTACACATGTTCATGCTGCCAGATGTCCCAAAGCCCCATATGGGGCTCCAGTTACAACCATAATAGGTTACTACGTGGAGGTTCATGGGTAGTTATAAGTAGGGTTATAAGCAGGGTAACTATAACTATAACCCATATTAGGGGACGTATTAGGGGACTTATAACTCCACTTACAACTACCCATGAACCTCCAAGTAACCAGATTATGTCTAACCCAGTAAACCCTAAACCCTAAACCCTAAACCCTAAACCGTAGGTAACTGGAACCACAGAAAACCTTACAACCTCAGGCGCCTCGCGGCCTTGTTAATGATAAGAAAATTTGCTGGGCCTAACGAACACTGTGTGATTATAACAAGGAGCCAGAAGTAATCATTCTTATAGTCATTCATGGTGTAAGTACGATAAGGAGCCCTAAACCCTAAACCCGAAACCCTAAACCCGAATAGTATCGGTAAGCATTCAGGATTCTTCGGAAAAGATTTACCAGCCTACATCCGACGCAGACGGCGAACTCGATGCCCGGGTCGTCGAAATTGACGTGACCTTCACAAGCCGTTAGGGTTTAGGGTTTAGGGTCTAGGGTTTCGGGTTTAGGGTTTAGGGTTTAGGGTTTAGGGTCTAGGGTCTAGGGTTTAGGCGTTTAGGGTTTAGGGTCTAGGGCTTTGGATTTAGGGTTCTGCTCTGTCTCTCTCTCTCTCTCTCTCTAAGGTTTCTTTTGTGTTTCTACAAGAGTACTATAAGGGTTCTATAGGGATAGTCTCCCTCCCCGGAACGCTTGAGAACGATTTCGATCCCGAGGGTCCTCCACCTGGGGATCCAGCTGCGACAGAGCTTTAGGGTTTAGGGCATAGGGGCCAAACTTGAAGGTTAGAAGTATGGGCCCCTAATATGGACCCTTAGGCCTTTTCAGGGACCCATAAGGGTACATATAGGGTATATAGTAGGTACATATAGATCCCAGGGTTTAGGGCCCATACTAGGGGCCCATGGGTTCAACCTTAGAGCCCAACAGTCTCGATTACAGCAAAGTCCTATGAATGCCAGGCAAACTCTGCAATCTCAAGCCGTGAGCCGGGAGACTTTTAGGCAAATGTAGGGGCCTTAATAATTAGAATAGGGTTTTGGGGTATGTTATACCATGATTATAGTAAGGAACTCCCAAAAAAGTATAGGTAATGATTCAGGCCTCTATAGTATAGTGATTGAGAGCTTACGGCTTGCAGGCTGCAGGGACGTACCGTGCCTTGTGGGTTTAGGATTAAAGCAGATACTGTGCCAAGCACGCCTCAACAAAGGCCGTCGGGCCGTCGGATCAAGAATGCATCAGGTTGCGCTTGCTAAAAGTGCCACGAAACTACAGTAAGAACCCTAAACCCTAAACCCCTGTAGACCCTAAACCCTAAACCCTAGGGAATGGGAACTTTTGCATGCTCAACTGCTCAACTCTGCAAAAGCCCCACCTTGGACATGTGACACCGCAGAAAGGAAGCGGCCAAAGTGTAAATCTCACAACCATCGGAATCACGCAAGAAACCTCGGGTTGCGGGTATGTCATCAGGGTTGCCCTATAGTGGTCTCCTTCTTTTAACTTTCTCCTTGAGGCTTTCGCCCTCGAGCATACCCACAAAAACCTCGTCGTCAAATCTGCCTCTACCACCATCCACGTCAAACCCTAAACCCTAAACCCTAAACCCTAAACCCTGAAACCCCGAAACCCCAAAGTTCCCAAAGAGCTACTGAGGGCTCTCGGCAAAAGGAGCCTCCGGTGACTCCGATGTACCGAGCGCTACTTCGTCGACACCTGCTAGACTGGTAGATCGTCGTGGCTAGGGTCCGGTTTTGGGTATAGGGTAGTTTCGGGTTTATAGAGTTTAGGGTTGAGGGGTTTAGGGTTTTGGTTTTGGGTCTAGGGTAGTTTTGGGCTCAGAGAGTTTAGGGTTCAGGGGTTTGGGGTTTATAGGGTTTAGGGGAGCTACGGTTGAAGTATTTTAGGGTCCAGGCTTGAATGGCAAGATTTCGGCAAGGAGCTGGCTGCTTGCGACATATAGCCCGAATAATACCACAATAGTATAAACCGCACACACACGCGCACACACACACACACATATATATATATATATGTATATATATATATATATATGTATATATATATATATATATAAATGTATATACATACGTATATATATATATATCTATCTATATATATATATGTATGTTTATTCATATTAACAGAAATCTACATCTAGACCTAAGTATCTATATATAGATACAGATATAGATATAGATATAGATACAGATATACACACAGAAATAGATACAGATGTACAACTATAAATATACAAGCATATATATATATATATATATACACATGCACATACATACTGCATATTCTATATATATATATATATATATATTATATGTCTTAAATTCCTAGTCGAATTCTGCTTCCTACAAACACCCTCGACCATCCAACTTAGGGCTCTGCTGCTCTGCTCAAGAGGCAGAGGCCTGAGTAGCTCCAAGCCAGAACCTGCTGTGAGAGGTCGGACACCACGCTCCTGGAGTGGCGGTTTAGGGTTTAGGGTTTATAGGGTTTAGGGTTTAGGGTTGAGGGTTTAGAGTTTTTAGGGTTTAGGGTTTAAGAACTATGAACAGGGTTCCTAGGGTACTATATTTGTGACTTTGAGGGTTACCAGAGAATGTTAGGGTTTAGGGCATTGGGGCTTGGATGCAGGGTGTTGGGAGGCAAGGCTTGACGGCCTGCGGACGTAGGCATCGGAAATTTTGAAAAATGAATCAGGTCTAGGGTTTAGGTTCCCAATGCCCCTACACTCCATTAAGATTGCACCGGTTTAGGACTTCGAGTTCTGCTTCCGCTCAGGGTTCATGCCGTTGTGGAGAAGGGGTTTGGCGGTTTTAGGACTTAGCTGTTCACACCTGCCTCGCATCATCACGAATCTAACGGCCTCTGCTAATCATGACATTGGCTTCGCCCCCTAAGACCCAAACCCTGAAACCCTAAAAACCTAAAACCCTAAAAAACCCAAACCCTGAAACCCTGAAACCCTAAAGCCCTAAACCCTAAAACCGCAGGGATGTCGTCACAGACAAGTCGCTGGAGTCGGTGCTGCGACGTGCGAACTGTGACCAGGATGCCGAGTCCCACTCCCACGAGCAGCCAGTGGAACTTGGACCTTCGGCTTGCTTGCCCGCCCTTTTGTGCTTGTGGAATGGTTTAGGGTTTAGGGTTTAGGGTTTAGGGTTTGGGGTTTGGGGTTTAGGTTAGGGTTTAGAGTTTAGGGTTTAGGTTAGGGTTTAGAGTTTAGGGTTTAGGGTTTAGGGTTTAGGGTGTTTTTGTTTCAGGCCTCCCGCAATTGGTTCTGCATTTGGTCATTCCCCCCGTCCCGCCCTGGAACAGCTTGGGCCCTGAGCTGTGCAGCTCCCCTTGAACCCTCAACCCCTAGGCTTAGGGTTTAGGGTTCAGGGTTTAGGGTTTAGGGTTTAGGGTTTAGGGTGTAGAGTTCAGGGCTGCTCAATCCTAAACCCCGAGGTTCCTACCTATTGTCTCCATTGTATTTCCTTCTCCTGGTTAACCAGATTTATATTATCGGAGCCTAACCATGAACCCTAAACCCTAAACCCTAAACCCTAAACCCTAAACCCTAAACCCCTAAACCATGAAGC